CCAGCTCTACTCTTCATCGCTATGATGCTGTAACTCAGAGGTGATGATGGTGACCCAGCTCTACTCTTCATCGCTATGATGCTGTAACTCAGAGGTGATGAAGGTGACCCAGCTCTACTCTTCATCACTACGATGCTGTAACTCAGAGGCGATGAAGGTGACCCAGCTCTACTCTTCATCACTACGATGCTGTAACTCAGAGGCGATGAAGGTGACCCAGCTCTACTCTTCATCACTATGATGCTGTAACTCAGAGGTGATGAAGGTGATCCAGCGATGTCCAGTAGTCTCCAGTGAGAGCAGCAGCTGCTGCACGCTGTAACGCTGTCGCTTTAGTCGTCCTCTCCTTTAACACAACTCGTGTGTTCTTCTGGTGACGGTGCATCTTGAGGCTCATACGTGACGTCATTCGTTGAGATCCTAAAGCTGCGTTCACACCAAACATGATGTGAACGCACCTTGAGAACGTTCCTCAGACCGACATCTTCCACAACACTAACCTGCAGTTTGTCTCCACTTCTTTGTCGCATCTGTTAGCTTGTGTTGCTTTAGTTTATCTCTACTTCTCCCACACGCTGCATCAACGTAGTCTGAAGACGTCCTCCACCGCTTGTTTGTTTGGGTGATTTGCTGCATCAAATGTGTGTATTGTATTTTTTTAAAAACTGTTAATGCACGATAAAATAATTGTTGCCGTTAATTAATGAATTCGATAACGCGTTAAGTTGCCCAGCAATAATATATGTAGCTAAACTGAAGTGACAATCTCAAAGATTTGGTTTGGTTCTCTTTGGCGGCCCCTGTGGTGATAAGATGTAACTGCAGGTGTGTTTGTTCTTCAGCTCTAATCACCACTGTGTTTCCTCCCAACAGACATTTAGTTAAAAGAAAATATTCCAGATTACTCCTTTACTTTAAATGTAAAATATTAGACCTTATCTGTGTCATATTATTCTATCAGTGAAGCACAAGGACTCAGTGTTTTAGACCCTCCATGCTATGTAGACTGGTATGATAACCAGGTCTCTCTCTCCTGGTCTCTCAGTCTTGAGGAACATCTTCTTGGTGTCCTGCGTCCTGCTCGCCTGCTCTGCTCTGTTCCCGGTCCTCTGGCACCTCTGGATCTACGCCGGCAGCGCCAACTCCAACTTCTACTACGCCATCACGCTGCTGTTCAACGTGGCTCAGGTGGGACGTCCCGGACGGGGAATGAGCTCCTGATCCCATCCGAGATATAGTCCGCTAATAAGTCGATGGGGCGATTGTGGCTAAGTGGATAGCAGGGCCGTCTTTCAATCAGAGGGTCGGCGGTTTGAACCCCGGCTCCGCTAGTCGCATGTCGATGTGTCCTTGAGCAAGACACTTAACCCCAAAATTGCTCCTGTAGTTGTGCCTACGGTGTAGAAATGTGATGGACTCTGAATTGTAAGTCACTTTGGATAAAAGCATCTGCTAAATGACTGTAATGTAATGTAAGTCTTCAGTTGTAGAGAAACATTATTTCAGCTTCAGAGGGCTAGCTGTTTCTCTCCGTTTCCAGTCTTTGTGCTAAGCTAAGCTAACCGGCTGCTGGCTCCGACTCAGACAGAAATCTCCAGTTCATTAAAGTGAAGTCAAATCTTTATGTGTTAAAGCTGCGTTCTCTCTAGTGTCCACCAGGGGG